GACCTAGTAAATTCTAAACAGATTCGCAACAAAGACTTCTACGAGCAGCTATGCCACATGCAGTGATGACAGAGCTGCCGCTGATCTGATCCGGTACCAACCTCGCAGACGCAATCTGCCAAAGAAACCTCGCATGTCTGGCATTTGACATAGGGGCCGTAATAATTAGAATTGGGTTTGGGGGCCCAGTATGCTATAACTATAACAAGGAGCCCCCAAAACAGTATTGGTAATTGTTTAGGCCCCTATCTAAGTCTTCAGGGTTGAGGTCTTGAGGGTTTTAGCCATGTGTCGATTGCACCAGTCCCCTAAATTGTTTATCATCAAGTCAGGGCTGTATATGGAACAAAAAGGGAAATCAACAACTATCCCACATCGATACCTAGTCGGGGTTTAGAGTTTACCTATAATCTCCATGCCAGTTCCATTTTTTAGTTTAACAAAATATATAATTGGGATCCTATAAGGTAACCCCCAAAAAAGGAACTACAATGGAGCCTATAGGTAATTCTAAAACAGCTTAGAAGCTGCCCCCCGCCCTGTAATAGTGACTATAAGGTATTAGGGCCCTATTATATTCCTATTATACCACTATTACAGGGTCGGGGGACTTAGTAAGTAGGTAGTAAGTGGACTTACCCTAAAAGGGACCCTAATTGGGGTTATGGTACTTATAAGTCCCTAAAACAACCAGTAGTTGGTGTTTAGAGTTTAGGTCTTCAGGCTCTGGGAGTGGGGCTTCCAGAGATCAGAGTTTCGGGCCCTGGGTACTGAACCCTTACCCCAAAGCCCTAAACCAAAAAAGTCTAGGATTCAGGCATAGGGCTTAGGGCTCAGAATTTAAAGCCGTTTAGGGTTTAAGGGTTTAGGAATTTAGGGCTTAGCCAGAAATAAACAACAAGAACTGACAGGCCGCAAAGGAGCTCATAAGCCCTGGGCCACTGGCTTACCAGCCCACAGCAAGCGATAGCGGCGTTGCAGCCGATGACATCGCGCTCCAGCTGTGCCTTCATAGGGTTCCGACCCCTGAAAAAGGGTTTCCTGTTTGGGGCTTTTGGGGTTTCAGGTTTCGGGTTTAAGCTTCATAGGCTTCATAGGGTTTTGACCCGCTAAAAAGAGATCCATATAAGGTTGCAATATGGGGTTTAGGGCTTGGGGGTGGCAGCTGTGCCAGGAGAATTTCAGAAGAACGGTTTAGCTTCGAGGTTTTTAGGAGTTCAGGATTTAGGATTTGGTGCTTAGAGTTTGGGGCTTGAGGTTCAGGGGGTTCAGGGTTTGATCCCTATCGGTCGGGTTTGGGATTTAGGGCATTTGTCGACGGCGACGACGACGACGGCCAATGGAAACAAGTTCCACAACTGCTGGTACAGTAGCACTGGGTCATACGGACCAACAATACTGATTTCAACAGTAGCACTGCTGATGATCACAGCACGCATAGTGTTCCTATTCTTGTGCTTCCATGGTGGTACTACGGTTGATGATATAAATCCTGCATTGCCTTAATGACGCTAGAAATTAACATCATCAACCGTAGTACTCGTACGCTACATCTAAATGGACACACCCCCCCCCATGACCTACCTCGGCCTCTTTTCCATTGTAAATACCGTCAAAACCTTCTCTTGGCAGGGATTCGCGTTTGGCATACGATTCGTGTTTTGCGTAATTTTCGGGGATGATACCTTCTCTATCATGGCTGATGTGAAGTCATGTCTCTTTACAACGTCGTGCCTACTCATGTCCGCTTTCAAATTCATATGCCTGTATTCATAAGCAAGAAACATTAAAAGAAACCATACGATACGACGGCGGAAACCAAAAAACCAAAAATCCAAAAATCCAAAGCCTTTCTGAGGGGCCCGAAACTTTTGGATTTTTTGGTTTTCCTAGGTCTTTTTTGGTTTTTTGGGCTTTGCCTTGGCGAAACCATGGCTTTTTTTGGATTTTCGGTGGAAAACCAAAAAAACACAAGGTTTTTTTGGTTTTTCTGCTGTGTCTCTCGTGAAAAACCAAAAAACACCTGTGTTTTTTTGGATTTCTGCTGGAAAACCAAAAAAACCTTGGATTTTTTTGGATTTCTGCTGGAAAACCAAAAAAACCTTGGATTTTTTTGGTTTTCTGTTGGAAAACCAAAAAAACCCTAGGAAAACCAAAAAATCCAAAAGTTTCGACCCCCCTGACAAAGGTTTTGGATTTTTGGTTTTTTGGTTTTTTGGATTTTTGGTTCTCGGAGCCTTAGAGCCAATACAGCGCGCAGCATGCTTGATCGGAAATGGTTTCGTTGTTTACGCGCAGTAGTCTTCAGATGTGCATTAGGCATTAGTGTTAGTATTAGTATCTGCGTTCTAGCGTGTTGATTCGTGTTACTGTTAGTGTTGGTGTCAGTGTCAATGTCAATTCCAATGTCAGCGTTAGTATTAGTCTGAATATAAGTCTATACAATAGGTGTACTAATGGTAGTGTTAATGTCTAGTGTGAGTTTTAGTATTCGTATTAGTCTTGGTCTTAGTCTCTGCCTTATTCTTAGTGTTAATATTAACCAGTGTATAGTCTCATAGTCTATGGTAACATTGGAATAGTAGTATACGAGTATATTATTTATTGGTATGTGAAAATACAGATTCTTTGGTACATTGATGTGTCTGTTTTTTGTATTTGGTTTGAACGTGATTATTAGTATTCGTAGGAGCATTAATATTGGTATCAATAGCAGTATCGCTGTTCATACTATGCATAATCGTATTATCTGGAGTATCAAGTGGTAATACTGCTATTCATGTTAGTGTAGGTTTTTTAATGTGAATATAAATACTGAGAATAATTAATAAGACTATGCGCATTAATCTGCGGAGGAACTGTATCACTTATGTGCATATTAGTATTAATGTTAGCATTTGCGTGTATATTGGTAACAAATAAAAAATAAAATTACTATCAATATGGGTATGTTTTTTAATATTCGTAGGAACACTAGTATTCATATTAGTATCGGTATTACTGAAAGTACCCGTCTTCGTAAAAGTATTTGTAATCATACTAATTCATATCAGTACGAGTATTAAGATGAATTATGATGCGCATATGAATACTTTCGAAGGAAATGCTGACCTTAATACGAATACCCATATTAATGTCCTATTATGTATAATCGCAGTAGCCTGAGTATTGGTATGAATATTCGGACAAGTATTAGTATTCCAAACAACTAGTACTATTAGTATTCATATTGAGAACAGTTAATAAGAATATGCGTATTAGTATCCCCAGGAGTGTTAATATTCCCATCAGCACTACTATTCGAATTAGTAGTGCAATTTTTAATACTAGTATTAACCATTAAGCCTATAATGTTATGAACAGTATTATCCTTATTCGTAGGAATAGAAGTCTTAGTATCAGTATTAGTATTCGCACTAGTAATAGCTATTATACACATTGGCGCATGAGTAACCTAAGAGCTTCACACAGAATAAACATGTGTGCACATGTAACCCTCATTACGATCCTAGGTAGGATGCACACATCGTTCTGTTTTGGTCCCGTCTTTGGGTTATGCCTATGAGTACATGAACAAAATTAAAAACAGACAATGACAAACACAAAGTTACCCGGCGCATCTAACGATCTTACGTAGGATGTAGACACTGTTCTGTCTTGGTCCTGTCTTCGGGTTATGCCTATGGTCATTATATGACCAGAGTTATGAATATCCGGAACATTTAGGCAGTATCCTATTAAACAATTGCAGGCATTGAAGCTTGCCCAAATCCGCCAACGGCGATGTCGCGCCGTCGTAGGTCATTACAGTGTATTCAGCTATTGATTATACACGATATACGTTTCCATTGTTTATGTATGAGTGTATTTTATCTTAATGGTTTCCTCAAATCCTTACATGTTCTACTACCCATTGCTAGCCGAAGCACCTCGCGGTAGGTCTTGGGGGGGGGTGTGAGCATCTAAATATTGGTTTGCTGCCACGGGGGAACCCTCAAGCACCACGGCAAACCCTGAGCCCCCCCCCCCCAACCCTAAACCCTAAACCCTACGCCCTGAAGCTTGAAACCTTCAATGCCCCCAACCACAAGGCCCCACCCCCACCAGCACTAAACTTCACCCCAGCCCTATAAACTCTGAACCCAACTAACCCTAAGCCCCCAACCCTAAACTCTACACCCCAAGCCCTAAACCAAACTAACCCTAAGGCCGAAGCCCTAAGCCCCCAACCCCGGCCCCGAAACCCCTCCAACCCCAAACCCCTAAACCCTAATCCCTAAACCCTAAACCCAACTAACCCTAAACCCTAAACCCTAATCCCTAAACCCAACTAACCCTAAACCCTAAACCCTAATCCCTAAACCCTAAACCCAACTAACCCTAAACCCTAAACCCTAATCTCTAAACCCTAAACCACCCTAAACCCTAAACTCCTCCACCTCCAAACCCGAAAGTCATGTTCGCGAAGCCCGGGTGGCCTCGGTGATGCGGGAAACGAGTCGAAGCGACCGCTGCCATTGCAGGCCTTTCACTAGGATGCCCAGTAACCTAGGAACAAAAAGGGCTCCCTTTTTGGTATTGGGTAACTTTATAAGGAATAGTTCTACAAAAAGGGAATAAGGGTACAACTGGGCATCCTAGTTCAGAGACGCGGGGAGGTATAAAACCTTGTCCAAGGCTACCACTCGAAGCGTCGCACAAATGTAAATGCATGTATGCATTCGCGACTTTAGCCTTTGAGGGGCAGGCAAGGTACCTGCCATGTACCGAATTCTATATTCTGCCAATCGAATCTTTCCATGCGGGCAATCAAAGAGCCATGTGCGCACCTGTATTGTGTGTGTACCACAGGAAAGTATGACTCCATAAATAAAGATGCCTCGATAGATAAGTCAGATTCCCTCTTGCTGCTTCAAACGTCCATGACAGTGACATGCACAAATAGATGCAGATACACCTTTATCATCTTCAAGCCTGAACCCTGAACCCAAACTGGGGTTTCACCCTTCCTCCCTCAAAGCGCCTTCGCCACACTGGTTCAGAAGTGCGTTGAATGTCACCAAATCCGCCGGGGCATCTGCCCTCGGCATACTGGCGAGCAGCTGAAGTGCTGCAGCCCACTGCAAGCTTTCTCGGCAGGCAGCAATTCCAATGTTGAAGCCTTGCGTTGGACACGCATGAGGACGTTGTTGTTCCAACACAACTCGGCTAAACTAACTTACAGGCCTAAATAAATACCAATGATTCATGATTATTGCCCTTAGTGTAACTACAGTAGAACGGACCCCCCTCAAAAAACTTATCCAAAAACTAAGGCCCCCTATATGAACTACTGTATTGCAACGAATGACAAAAGGACTAGTTGAGGAAGCCCAGATACTGATCTCATCAGCAGTCGGAATGGTAGAAAGCCTGGACTTTGAAGTAACCAGCGAGAAAAAAGTATAGACTTCTATTTCATACTGGTTCCTTTAAGGAACATGCACCAAAAAAGTATTCAAGTATGGTACTCCAAACCCAGGAAGCAGATGAACCGCTGCCTCCCAACGCTGAAGCCGTTCACAGGAGCTCATGGCTGCAGTACCACTCATCTCACTACCTGGACTTTGAAGTAACCAGGGAGAAAAAAGTATAGACTTTCTAAACCCTAAACCCCAAGTTTTATTTCATAATAATGGCTCCTTAAAGGAACAGCTGCCAACAAAAAACAAAGTATTCAAGTATGGTACTCCAGAACCCAGCTACAGGAGATTCGATGTCGGGGCATGTGAGACAGCAGCCGCATCGCCAATTCCCAATGCCCGCTTCTGTCACTTGCCTAAGTTTTCCTTTAACCCCCTGAAAATTATTTGCTATTATGGTTCTCTACAAAATAGTAGGGGAAATTAAAAAAGATCCCAAAGGACAACCCAGTTGCACTAATGCCGGAGGTGAAACTGATCTCGTTTGGCTTGGCAGCTTTGGCTGTCATGCAGACCAGAAGCTGGAGAACCGTCTGCCACTGCCCGGCTCGTTCAGCCACGTTCATGAGCGCATTGCAGCTGACGGTATCAGGGAAGATGTCTTGTGCTAACATCTCGGAAAAGATCTGAATAGCCACCATCCATGCACCAAGACTTGCTGTCATGGCTGCTGTGAAGCTATAGATGCTCGGAACGCACCGCAGCACCAGCATCGTGGCCAAAACTTCCACACATGCCTGCCATCAGGTCACACCACGTACAGGTAATCTGAATGACAGCCTAAAGCTTTGCCTTACTGTACTAATCCTCGAACATAAAAACCCTATACCCTTGAAATCCTCAACCCTAAACCCCTGCCATCACGATTGCCGACGGCTTGTTGTCTCAAGTTCTGCGTTCCAACCCTTACTTCTCTAAACCCTACCTTAGCCCCGAAGAACCCACATTTTTAAGGACGTATATATGGACATCATACTAAGGAACCCTAAAAAGGTAGGTTATTCAGGGTTAAGGTAAGACCCGCTCTAGACCCCTTTCATGAAGCCACGGCCTGCCATTCCCTGGCTTTCCCCCGCTCCCTGATGATACGTGCCAGAGCGAACTCCCCTCGCTGCGTCATGGCTATGAATTCCATGCACTTGCTGAGTGACTTTCAATACCCTTAGGCTCTAAGGACTCATAGTTTAAGGCTTTTTGGGCCCCAAGACCATACTATATAAGGCTTTTGGGCTATTTTGAGCCTTAGGGATAGGGTTTGCAGGTTTTGCTAGGTATCCGGTTCTTTGGCTTTCGTAGGGCTTGATATCGGGTGTTCTGGGGTTTAAGCTTACAGGGTATAGCAGAGGAACCTTAATGGTCAGAACACGGATTCGGGAATGCCAACCTGAAGATTCTCGCCTTACATTGGTCTTTTCATGGCATGCTGGCATGCTTGAAAAACCACCCTCAAAGCCCACGTGCCAATTCATCATCCTGTTCCTACCAAGTACTAGTCTGCGGTACTGTGATCCTACAACCCCATACCAGATTCTCAGGCATTTCTGTCCATTTAGGATTGTTTCGGGTATTCAGTACCTTAACCACCAAAAACCAAATCCTAAACCTTTGAAGCCCCAAACATCCCAGAAGCATAACAAACAAACATGTAGCTAAACCCTTCCTTTTCAAGCACCCATGGATGTTCTACAGGCTTTCTAGGAGGCCCAGTAACCTAGGAATACAAAGGGATCCCTGTTTGGTATTGGGTAACTTTATTAAGAACCTAGGACTACAAAAAGGGTAACTTTATCAGGAACCTAGGACTACAACAAGGGAAAAAGGGCCCACTGGGAGGCCTAGATTTCGGTTTTTCTGAGTACAGAGCAAGCCAGAACCAAAGGCGTGTTTGGGGGATGTGGATTTCAGGGACTGGGGACACTGCTTGAGGCCGAAGGCTTGTAGTGAGCACTTAGACCAGAGAAGAACAGATTTAGGGGTTAGGAGCTTGGGGCTTAGGGTTTAGGAATAGGGTTTTGATGTGTGTACGTGTGATTTACGGTACGACCAGAGACTAAACCCTAAACCCTAAATCCTACCAGATTAACTAAAGGGAACTCCAGAAAGTTGGAATATGAATTAATGGTAGGATCCCCTATAATTTACCTTAAAGGGGATACGATAATGATATTCCAACTTTCTGGCTTCTACTGTATATGCATAATCAAAAGATTGGCAAGTATTCGGGCCGACTGGGCTCCCACTACCATCCAGGGTAGAGATGAGAACCGGAAAATTCAGAGAACATGGGGCTTTGAGCTCAGCTTACTACCCCAATAAGACATGGAAATGAAAGGTTAAACCTTCCGATTCCTGCTAAACTGTAAGAACCCGAAAAGTTTAAAGGTTAGGCATTGGGGATCTAAGTTAATTAGAGTGAAGGTTTGCTTCGGAGTTCAGAGTTTAGGGCTTAATCGGGTTCAGGGTTGTAGGATTTTAAGGCTAGCGGCTAGAAAACATCACAGAAGCGTTGCGCAGCAAGAACTGTGAGAAGGTCGCGGAAAGCAATGACCCCCGTAGCTGAGGCAAAGGAATGACATGATATGATAAACACTCGCAGTGGCTAATGGAATACCAAGACGAGTAAGAAAGACAGCAGAAACGACCAGCTACCTCCGGGGACACTACGATGCTGCGAGCAACAAGCTGCTTGTTTGCTGGCTGAGCCATGGACAAAAAACTTTGCAAAACATCCAAACCCATAGAGAATTCAATGATTCCAACTCCATTATCAGAAGCAGGATAACGTAACGTGTATTCCGAAGGTTGACAGAAACCCAAGGCTGTGTCAATGCGAACTGTTGCAGCGAAAGAAGAGGAGGGATTCTCAGAAGGTCTTCAAAAAGCAAACGAGATCCTGATGCCAGAACGCTACTGCTACGACTCCCTCCCCCTGCTCCTGCCCAAAAGCTGGGCATTTTTTGATGCAATCTCGAGCGGGCGCTACCCCCTTTACGGGTGTCGCCGGCGCCGTTTTTGAGGCGGCTTGGGTGCGGAGAGCTCGTCGCGAGCCTGGGCAGAGGGGCTCAGGCAAAGGAACTCTTGTGGCTGCACATCTTATGTGGCTTTACTGTGCCATATAAACAAATACATATGTACGTATGCATATATATATATACATATATGGACACACTAAGTGTTTGCTGTGTGTTGCTTGCTTGAGCCCTTCAAAAAATACAGACGCACCTATAAACCCCTGAACCATGTATTAATCAAAGAAAAAACGCCAAGACTTCCGTTTCCGCAAACCTACTAAACCCTAAACCCCTATGCCCCTAAACCCCTAAAGCCCTAGACCCTAAACCCTGAACCTAAACCCTAAACCCCAAAACCCCAAAACCGTAAACCGTCGCTCCCTACCAAGGCCCGAGCACACTGTGGGAAATCCTTGCTTTGAAGAATTCGGGAGAGGTTCGCAGCTTCCGTGCTCCTGGGCTTAGGGTTTTAGGGTTTGGGGTTTTGGGGGTTTTGGGGTTTAGGGTTTAGGGTGTAGGGTTGCGGAATGGTTCCTTTAAGGGTTCATTTAAAGGGATGTATAAGGAACCCTTTGGTTCCTTTAAAAGGATCCTTAAAGGGATCTATCAGAGTTCCTCTAAAGGGATCTCTAGGGGTTCCTGTAGAGGGATCTACAAGGCTTTAGGGCTTTGGGTTTATAGGGCTTGAGGCTGAGGGCTCCGATTAACGGTTGCTTTCGTTGTTTGCCACAATGTTTAGGAAACAAGGAAGGGTCATGATATGTATTGATACTGATGCGGGATCGTAATCGTTCTGCCCGCTCCCACAAACCCCCTAAACATTGAAACCGCTCTATGTACGCACAAACCTGATAGTGCTCGAATCTTTCTATATACCCCAGTGAAGCCGTTCTCGTTAAATCAACGTTAAGGACCCTGGTGTAGTTCAGGGATGTTTACGCTATCCACGAAACCCCAGCGTATCCCAAACCTCGAAAACAGCAGCGGCCTTCTGCACAGATTACTTTGCACTTAGAGAAGCATTCAAACGTCGACGCATGGTTGGCCAAGCCCTGCCAATACCGTAAAACATCCAACATCCCGACTGGCAGGGGCCTTGACAATTAATGGGATGCTAGTGTAGGGCCTGAACAATTAGGCTAGGGTTTGGGGCATAATTGGTACAATAGCATTATGGCCCGCTATATTACACCCGAACCCTGAAACTTTTGGCCTTCAAGCCCCAAAGCTTTACCTTGAGCTACCATAGACGACTTTTTTAGATTCGTAATATATACCCGAATCTGGAATGTTTAAGGACCATACGAAACGAGCAATCGCAGGAGGTTTTGGTACTTGGAGGGGCAGGGGACTTAGTAAGTAGGTTGTAAGTATATTTACAAGCACCCCAACTGGAGTTACCCCAATTAATTTAATTTTAACCCTACTTATAAACGACTTACTAAGTCCCCTGCCCCTCCGAGTAGACCCTAAACCATAAACCCCATAGGTCCCTTTAAGGAACCCTTCCAGAACCCTTTAAGGAGCCCTTTAAGAACCCTTACTAAGTCCCCTGCCGCTCCAAGTAGCTTGAGGTGGTGTTGGAAGCAGCTCGGAGGTTCAGGGGTAGCCACTTGGAGGGTCGGGGGACTTAGTAACTGGGTAGTAAGTAGACTTATAAGTACCCTAAGAGGGATCCTAATTGGGTTATGGTACTTATATCTCTACAAAATAACTACTTAGTAAGTCCCCCGACCCTCCAAGCAGGAGGAGGTGAGGAATCCCTGCTCCACCTACCCTCTGCTCGTTGCTGCCTACGAACTAGGGGCCCTGTAGCCTTACTTATACTGCGGTTGATGATTTGAGTCCTGCATTACCCATCATAAGGAATAGTCCATAATTCCCATAGTCTAGGGTCATTACGGTAATGCAGGATTTATATCATCAGCCGTCAGGGTACAAGGAGGGTCCTCGACTCCGAAAGCTTCAACCCTAAACCCTTAGCCAACCCTAAACCCTGAACCCTAAACCCTAACCCTAAGGCTCAAAATAGCCCAAAAGCCTTATTTCAGTTCAAACGAAATTACCGAGGGATCAAAATAGCCCGAAAGCCTGATATGGTATGGTCTTTGGGCCCAAAAGCCTTAAAATATGAGTCCTTAGAGCCTAAGGGTAAAGCTCTGAAGCCGGCGAGCCGAAATCCCTAAACCCTAAATGGGAGTTTCCAAAAATAGGGGACAGAAATATAGTACCCTAAATAGTAGGATCCTTATTCTAAGGACCCCAAAATAGGGTACCCCTAATTTTCTGAAACTCCCATATAAACCCTGTACAAGCCTCAAGATTCTATTCATTCCGGTGGCGCGAGAAAGCCACGGCCAGAGGCCTGTCCGAAGAAACCCTGAAGCATGCATTAATTAAACTGGCTGTAGCAAAGCCAGGGCTAAGCGAGTACGCCTTGAAGGCTCCAGTACAACCAGTAGCCTCAAAGCCCTGTTCAAAATCGGAAGACTGTACAGGAAGGTGTCTGGCTCAAGTAACCTCAGGCCCCATTGGGCGAGGTAGCGGTTGAGCGACCTTCATAACTAACTCACTTAGCTCAGTTGGCGGCCAAGAAGAAAGGAGACCGTGCAGCTGCAAACCAAAGTAGCTGCAAAACAGGTGTGTCAAGCAGGTTTACACTGTTGCAGTGCAAACAGAGGGATGGGCAGCAGGGTACACACCTGCACACACTGCACACTCTTGCACGGAAGGCCCCCCCCCCCTGTTGACTACACGTACCCTGTACTGGCCCTGCACAAGCTTCAAGAGTACGAGCCTCAGCCCAGCTGGCGAGGCGTGGTCAGAAAACGGGGCTCCTGGGCACCGCAAGCCTCAGCCCAGCTGGCGAGGCGTGGTCCTGTACGAAACAGCGAAGCGGCAAAAGCTTTCGTGTTCCTGCTGTCAGATCTCCTGCTCCTTAAAGACACACCTGAAGAGATTGATCACCTGCCAACTAGCTCTCAAAGCAAAGGCTCAAAGCAAAGGCTGGACACTCGGGCTGACCGGACCGAGGATCCTGCAGAAAACGCTCCTGGGCACCGCAAGCCTGCCAGAGCACGGAGAAGCGGAAGCAGGCAGGCTACGAAGCAAAGGCGATGCTGAAGTACAGTGCTTGAAAACCATTTTGCAGAGCAACAAGGCTGTCACGGCCTGCTGCGGGACCTTTGGTCCAGGTCAGTGCCCAGGCTGAGCTGCACCCTTCCACAGCCTCGGGCCCTCAGCCCTAAGGCGAGGGCCCAGGAGGCAGTGAAAAGCAAAAGTTCAGGCGGCCTTCCACTCGACGGCCAGGGCAGCTTGACTCACCTAGTAGGCTAGTCACCAAGGAAAACTCCCTGCTGTAGCAGGCACCACTTGTAGTGCTGCGTAAGGAGTGGTCGTAGCCGTTGCAGCACCTCCTCAGGCGAGGCGTTGCTGACAAGCTGGAGTAGCTCCTGAAAGTGGTCTGGAACACTCCTCTTGACCGCGCTCCAGAAAGCCGAGGCACGCTGTCTGTTCGGCCAGTGTGCCCTTTGACCCTCCCATGGAAGCCAGTCTGCGGTGTCCCACATCATAATGAAGCCACGGGCATCAACACCAAAGTTGAAAAAGCCAAGATCCTTGAGATTGTAGAAACGGGAGGCCTCCGCAGTCAGTGCCATCATGTAGCGGACCATATCAAGGTCCGGCGGAGCTGGCCTCCACACCGAAAGTGGAGTGAGCCTAGACTGCCTCAAAACATGCGTGGAGATGATATCATAGCAGCTCTTCCAAGAAAGCGTGAGCAGGTGAATACCCGCATCCAAAGTGCACGGCACTATATGAGGGAGCAGTCTCCAAGCTTCCGGTTCTGGCCCGTGACCTTGTGGAGGCGCCAACTTCAGAACGTGTTCCGAGGAGCCAGGGTCAACGTAAACTGTCCGGGACTTTCCGAACCCCAGCCGTCTCGCTCGAGCAGCTTTTGTTCGCCCACCAGTGACAAAGTCATGGTAAACTTCAAGGCTTTCCGGAAGGCACTGGTAGTGGTTCACCGGATGCTTCACCTGGGGCGCAGCTGCACATAAGAAAGTGATTAGGCCATCCTCATGAAGAAGAGGGCCAAAGTCACTTGGGCGATCTTTCAGCGCGACTGCAGGCTGTGGTGTCTCACTGCTGTCAGATTGAAGACAGTTGCTGGAGTCGTCCTGGTCCACCGGTGGCTCTTCAGCTTCTGGAAGTCGTTGCAAAGGTAAGCCTTGGCTGCTGGATGCAGCAGCAGTAGGGGGTGGAGCCCTCAGCCCTAAAGGCGAGGGCTCCTCCCGTGCTGGGCCCTGGCTGCTGGAAGCAGCCGCAGTGGAGGGAGCCCTCAGCCCTGAAGGCGAGGGCTCCTCCAAGTCGTACGGCAGCTCTTCAGCTTCACGATGTCTCGCCTCCGCACGAGGTCCTGGTGGAGGTGGTGGGGGCGGCCAAGCCTCCTCAGTTCTCCTGCCAGCGTGCTCATATTGTTCGCGGCGCTTCTTCTGTTTGCGGGCTTTCTTACGTCCCCGCTGTCGGTCAATCGTCGCCGCTGATTTCCATGATAGTCCCCGCTCCTCACGGCGGAGTTGCGTGGATATGTGCCGCCCTTCTTGCTTGGGCGCCATGCTTAGCAGGCCTTGGGCCTAAAAACGAAGGGTGCGCTGTGTTGGGTCAGCCTTCGGTTTTGTTTTGGGTTTGGGTCTAGCTGGGGCCTTGGGCTTCACTGGCGGAACAGCTGCTGGCATGCCTAACTGAGATCGCAAACCTACAGAAACGGACTGACCAACTGCTCCTTGCACTCCTGTGGACTGAGTGACCTCGCCTTGGCACTCCGGCAACCTTGGGGCAGCCGCTGCAGAGGAGGCGACGGGCCCAGCTGGAGGGTTGACCTGGGCAGCGCTCAAAAGGCCAAGCTTAGGAACTGCAGAAACACGCTCTGGCATAGGGCCGGCACCGAAGGTGCTGGCAGATTGAAAAGCACTGGCAATGGATCGGGTGGAGACTCCACCAACCTGTGCCAAGGCGCAAGCCTTGGTGCCACTGTTTACTTTACGCCCTAAGCCTTTACATGCAGACTGAAGAAGGGACGAGGGCGAGACCGCGCCAAGTTTTATGCAGGCCAAACACTTGGCACACAAAAAGTGAGATCCTCGATTATGCATGTCATGGCTGGGGTGTATTTTCCAACTGGGCGGCACAGCTGCAGCAACACCACGGCACGGGTGTGTAATTTTGCGATTGAAAACATCAAGCGAATGACATTGTTCAATATATAAATTGCATTTTTCGCAATAAACCGAGAAGTTGTTGGCGGCCTTAGTCTCGCGGGCTTTCCAATCATGACCAAGTGCTGGATCAGGGGAGTCCAGCAACTGCTTCAGGCGCTGTTTTTTGTTAGGTAAAGAACTGTTCTGGGTCGAAACAGTTGTCGCCCTTGCCTTAGATTTCTCAAACTGGCTCT